CCGTCTCCAAGGTGGGCCTCCACATCTAGGGTCAGTACATCAACACCAGTATGGCACAAAGTTGTTTTAAGAAGACATGCAATGTTATTAAGTAGATTTACTATGTGTTGCTGGGATAGTTCACAACATTCTTTAAAAATTCTTCAACAAGTGTGAATGCAACTAACTTTAATGGCTTCTCTGACACACATTTAAGTATTCTCAGGTTTAACAGTATTTGGAATTAAAGGTTTTGGGGCTCTAAAAAGAGAACTGATAAGGCAGGAGGTGTTTATAAAAGTGAGCAGAAATAAAGGACTTCAGTTATTTTTTTTCATTGCATGCTGGGAAGAATGCAAATTCTTGGACCAGGCCTCGGCTGATTTCTTTTTCACAACAGTCCTTAGCTGATTCTTGATAGAAGCTTTTGGTTAGACATAGCTAATTACTCATGTTTTATGCACGATTCAACTTTCACTAATTTGGCAGCAATAAATAGAGCAGTTATATGCACTAGGTCCAGCAAACATCTTGCTTGCAACAGCAGACATTTGTTTTCCTGACAGATTCAATCCATTCTAGAGAGGATGAAAAGGAAATCACTTAATTTTGAAGTCTTGGCTTTGACCTTACATGCCTTTCTATATTTAGAAATATTTATAAATCATGAAATGGTCATTGTATCTTTTCTCTCAAAGATTATAGTGATGGTTAAATGATAATTAGTCTTGAAACACTAAATAAACTATTTTAATGGTTATGTCTCTAATTAATCAACAGGACTAAACAGGCTGGAGACAAGAAGAGAACCACTTTTGTGTACAAAATGTATGATATTATGATTGAAATAGCTACAAAATATTAACATAAATGATTCTGCAATTCAAGAAAAATAAAAACAATAGCTAGTCTTTTTATTATCCTTTTTATTATCCTTCATTAAAATTTAATTAAACATTTATTTCGTTATTTATTTAATAATGACCTTTAATGTTATTGTGGTCCTTAGGTTACTTCAGATCCCTTAAATATGAGAACTTAACTCCTAGTTCTAGGTTCGATTTTGCTTCCATCTTTTTGTACTGTGAGACTCTCCAGTAGGGCAGAATCTCATACAAAAATGTAATTTACTGAATATCTTTTCCACTTAAAAAAATTTGGTGCCACCACATCTATAGATACAAAGGTATTAAAATAATATGAAGTTTAATATTAGAAGAAATGAATTAACTAAAAAAGGCCTACCATAATGAACCTGGAATGTAAAAATATACCTCCCACTTCCCTCAGGAAGCAGCTTGAAATCATCTCATGACTCAACATGATAAATGGGTGAGTGGGTGAGAATTAAAAGGAGGTTTTAGGCTTGGTAAAGCTGATGCCCTAAGTGAAGCTTAGTAATGACATTTCTTCTCTTGTGGTTGACTTCTAGGCAGCAGTTGTGGTGGTATTCAACTTTGCTATGGTTCTGCTGATTTTTCCTGCTATCCTGAGCATGGACCTTTATCGTCGGGAAGACAAGAGGTTGGATATATTCTGCTGTTTTACAAGGTAAGAATGTGTGATAGAATTGCAGTATACGAGGTACATCATTTTCATGGTCACCAGCAGCGCTACCACCCCTTCTCAGGCATGGTAGGTCTTCATTGCAGCAAGAGGGCAGCAGGGTCAGTATGTTAGTGTCATAGTTTTATTGCTAGAGACTGAATTACGTTTGCTACCTTGTTTTTTTGCCTGCCTGAGGGGAAAATTTAAAGCATTTCTCTCTCATCTGCCCATACCCTTTTCCCCTCATTCTTATGCACTTTATTTTAACCATTTTAAGACAACTTTCTGGAAGCACATATGGTATCCATGCTTTAGTAATGTCTATAAGTATTCTTAGAGTTTTATGGTGTACTGCAAGGTGTCCAGTACTGGTATTGAGAAACCTTGGAAGACCCGATTCCAGTCTCTTATGGAAGACTGTAAATAACTTGGGATACCCAGAAGCCTTACTTATACTTAATCACCATGTTAATTTGTTATGCTTTTTAAGCTTTGAAAATTAAATACATAAAAATAATATAAAAACAACTTCCCTTTCACCCAGTCTTTTATAGGACTGTGAGGAGTTCAGGTTGCTCAATACCACTGCAGGCTAGTGCTTGGTAAAGCTTCCGTTATGGCCCCAGTATTAGTTGATAGTTGTAATATGCACACTCTTACTTAATACAGCCATGTATTAGGCCAGATCTGAGCACAGGGTTGTGCTAGGAGGAGACTGTTATCATCAGTGGAGCTACCACGCGCGCGCTCTCTCTCTCTCTCTCTCTCTCTCTCTCTCTCTTTTTTTTCTTTTGAGGGGGTGGTTACAGCAGGAGATTGATCACAAGCCAGGACTGCTTTCTATTTCTGATTCAGCCATAGTTTCACTGGCTGGTCTTAATGTGCTTGATTCTTTGGAGCCCTGATTATCAGAAGTACAGGGCAGTCAGACCTTTCCCCTGTCTTAAGTCACAACAAACGTGAATCAGAATTAGAGCTTTCTTTGTTTAAGTAGGCAGCATTCTGAATTTCTCTTTATTTGTAGCATTTTTCCACTTGGTGGAAAATCTCTGATACCATTCTCTATCATCACTTTGTTATTTCTTATTTACAGAAGGGGGCTTGTCTCTTAACTTGTTTTTAAAAAAAATGAGTATCTGTTATGCTTTGGAATAGACTACAATAAAGGGAATGCTTCAAATAAATACTTCTATAATTTTATCTCCATGTTGCCTGTCCTTCCTGGGAATTAATCCTTGCATATGTTTATTTCATTTTTTAAACATGTAGTCAGTGTATGGCAAGTAATTTCAGCCTGCATCCCAAAAGCCATAGATGGTATCCAGAAGGCCCAAATATTATTTAACAGTTATTTTAATAATTCTAAACAGAAGAACTCAGCATGTCATATGTTTACATTTTCATCTTCTAAGTAGTTTAATCCTCAGCATGGTCATGTAAATGCAAACTTGCACACCTCTTGTGCATTCAGACTGTGTAATTATCTGGCTATTGACTTGATTAGTGTGTGTAATTAATGGAGCCATATGAGGTGGATACCAGTGTCTTCAGGCAAATGCTGCTTCCTTCTTTCTTGGTCACAAGAAACGTGTATGTTCTCAAAGACTTTCACTTTTAACCATGTCTAAGAAATATTTCCTAAAAGTGCAGAAGGAAGTCCACATCAAAACATTATGCTTAATTAATATAAACCATCTAATAGTAGTAGAAGCAGACTCAAATAGAAGCAGATTATTCTATCTTCTAGCCTGATTTTTTTTTTTTTTAAAAAAAGGCCTATCTATGAATGGATGTTTTTCTCTCCTCTTACAGTCCGTGTGCCACTAGAGTGATTCAGATTGAGCCTCAAGCACATGCAGAAAACAACGATAATACTTGCTACAGTTCTCCACCCCCATACAGCAGTCACAGTTTTGCACATGAAACTCAGATTACAATGCAATCTACAGTGCAGTTGCACACAGAATACAATCCTCACGCGCAGGTGTACTACACCACAGCAGAGCCTTGCTCAGAAATATCTGTGCAGCCAGTGACAGTAACACAAGATAATCTCAGCTGTCAAAGCCCAGAAAGCACAAGCTCAACAAGGGATTTGCTTTCCCAGTTCTCAGACTCCAGTATGCATTGCCTTGAACCACCCTATACTCAGTGGACACTCTCGTCTTTTGCAGAAAAGCATTATGCTCC